GGGGGGTGGGGGGGGGGGGGGGGCTCCGCGTGAACGGGGCAGGGGGGGCTCAACGGCGTTTTTCCCTTCCAGGTCTCCCCAAAGCCGCCCGCGTGTCCCACCTCAAGTCCATCATGTGCCTGAGCTTCTACGAGCTGGTGGGAGCCTCCAGCAGGGACGTGGTGTACCTGGCGCTGCCCCTCTACCACATGGCCGGGTCCCTGCTGGGCGTCGTCGGCTGCCTCGGCATCGGTGAGCGGGGCCGGGGCCCCGGGGGGGTCCGGGGATGTTTTGGGGCTGATCCCCTGTAGGCCCCCCCTGAGGACAGAGAGACAAAACCATCCTTTGTCAAGGAAAGAAGCCCAGAAGTTTCTCTCAACGATTAGGTGAAAAGTCACCTCATAGGAGCTCAAGGGGCTTCACCTAAAACTTACGGGCAGCTAATTGGATAGGAGCCAAAAAGTTCTGCCTGACCCATCAGGTAGGAAAAAAGAGAACAAAAGAGCTAAAAGGCTTTTGTGAGGGGTTTTTACCAGGAGCACACCTCTGCACCAGGCTGGGCTTTTTCTGTTTGTTATTTTGCCTTTTATTAAACCTTTTTGTTTCCAACACTGCAGCACAAGTCATCCTGCTTAATTTACTCATTTTGGGGGCCCAAAACAGCAGCTGAGCTATCCTTAGGTGTATTACATATTCTTTGGAGAGCTTATGAGACCTGGCTCTGAAACAGAAAAACACCAACATTATAACACAACGATCCCCCCTCAGGAGCCACGTGTGTGCTGAAGGAGAAGTTCTCAGCCAGCCAGTTCTGGGACGATTGCCGCGCCGAGGGCGTCACCGTCTTCCAGTACATCGGGGAGCTGTGCCGCTACCTGGTGAACCAGCCGCAGGTCAGGGCGGGGGGCCGGGCCAGCCTGGGGGGGTCCCGGGGGGGTCTCCCCCGGAGCTGACGGTGTCCCCGCAGCGGCCCGGGGAGCGGCAGCACGGGCTGAGGCTGGCGGTGGGCAGCGGGCTGAGGCCCGACGTGTGGCGGAGCTTCCAGCGGCGCTTCGGGCCCGTGCGCATCGTGGAGACCTACGGCATGAGCGAGGGCAACGTCACCCTCTTCAACTACACCGGCACGCCGGGCGCCGTGGGCCGCTGCAGCTTCATCTACAAGGTTCGGGGGGTCGCCGCGGGGAGGGGGAGTCGCCCTGAGCGCTCCCCGAATCCCCCCGCGCCTCTCCCCAGCTCTTCTCGCCGTTCGAGGTCGTTCGTTTCGACGTGGCGGCCGGAGCGCCGGAGAGGGACGAGGCCGGACGCTGCATCCGAGCCCGCACGGGTGAGGAGCGGGCACGGGGGGCTCCGGGGGTGGGTGGCACGGGGTGGTCTCGTCACCGTCGCCGTCCCCGCAGGAGAGACGGGGCTGCTGATCGCCCCCGTGACGCGGCGGACGCCGTTCCTGGGCTACGCCGGCAGCCCGGAGCTGTCGGAGCAGAAGCTGCTCCGCGGGGTCTTCGCCGAGGGCGACGAGTTCTTCAACACCGGGGACCTGGTGGAGCAGGACGAGGAGCAGTTCGTGCGCTTCCGGGACCGCATCGGGGACACCTTCAGGTGACCCAGCCCCCCCCGGCATGGGGACACCCCCAGAGCCCCCCCCTCACGGGATGGGGACACCCCCAGAGCCCCTCCTCCCACAGGATGGGGACACCCCGCGGGATGGGGACACCTCCAGAGTCCCCCCCGGGATGGGGACACCCCCAGAGCCCCCCCATCACGGGATGGGGACACCCCCTGGCATGGGGACACCCCCAGAGCGCCCCCCCTCACGGGATGGGGACACCCACAGAGCCCCTCCTCCCACAGGATGGGGACACCCCGCGGGATGGGGACACCCCCAGAGCCCCCTCCCAGGGTGGGGACACCCCCAAAGCCCCTCCTGGAACGGGGACACCCCCAGAGCGCCCCCCCTCCCACGATGGGGACATCCCCAGAGCCCCTCCTGGAACGGTGACACCCCCAGAGCCCCCCTCTCCCACGATGGGGACACCCCCAGAGTCCCCTCCCGGGGTGGGGACACCCCCAGAGCCCCTCCCTGCACGGCCAGGGGGACTCAGCCCCATGGAATGTTCTGGGGTCTCTCAGCTGAACATTTTTGGGAGGGGTCTCATCCCCGTCCTGTCCCTCCCTGTCCCCTCCCAGGTGGAAAGGCGAGAACGTGGCCACCACCGAAGTGGCCGAGGCGCTGCTGGCCCACGAGTCCCTGCAGGAAGCCACCGTTTACGGCGTCACCGTCCCAGGTACCGCCGGCCCCGGCGCCGCCCCCCGCGCCCCCCCCGAGCCCCGCGGTGTCCCCAAGTGTCCCCTGTGCCGCAGGCCACGAGGGTCGCGCCGGGATGGCCGCGCTGGTTCTGCGGCCCGGCCGCTCCCTGGACGGCCCCGGCCTCTACCGGCACCTGGAGCAGCTGCTGCCGCCGTTCGCGCGGCCCCGCTTCCTCCGCCTGCAGGTACCGGGGGGTCCCGGGGGGTCTCGGGGGGGGTCC